TTTTTGTAGGTCAGTATACTTTGATAATTTTTAACTAAATCTTAGTTTTTCTTACAATTATTAAATTTATAAAACCCACCAAAAAATATTTAAATAGTTGTAAAGTAGGTGCTCATCTGGTTTAACTTGAAAATTAAATTTATTCTTAAATCATAACACATTAAACAATTTCTCTGTAACATTATACTTTCTAGTTTGCACGTTTTGCATCTTTGTGTTTGTTGTGTCAGGTAACCTTCAGGACATGTTAACACTTATTCTCCACTGTTTCTCAAGCTTCTTTTGTGGCCCCTTTTTGATGTGAAAACTTTTAGACCCATATAAGCACACAAAGTAATTCCATTTAACAGGAAATAAATTTTATTTACAAATATTTCTGAATTATTTGCTTTTAAAAATAAAGTAAAGCAGTTTGTGTTTTCATAATTTTATGCCAATGGGGGGAAAAAAATAGAATTTCAAAACCCATCTATTTTCTTTGGCCCAACTTCAGGCCCAAGTTTTTAAATTTCTCAGACCCACTTGTGGGTCTAAGGGTCCACATAGAGAATCCCTGCATTAGAGGATTCCATAATTTTTCTTTTTTTTTTCATTGTTTCGCTTTAGTTTTTGTTTCGCTTTAGTTTTTGTTCTTCTTGTCTGGTGTTGATATATTAATTACATTGTTTTAAGAATAGTGTGTGCACTGTTGTGATTACTTTATTTTCTATTGTCCTTTCTTATTTATTATTGATTTCTGGAAAACAATCATTTTTGCATTTTATATTTTTTTTTTTTTGTTGTTTTTTTTTTGTTTTTTTTTTCTTTTACAGCGATTTAAAGGCATTTTTTATTAAACTTGATTTTCCTCCTATTTCTTTCTTTTTCAGTTCGTTTGGTTCTGTTTTGTTTAATCTGGATGTGTACTCTGGGCAAACACCACTTCTGGTTTCTGCCCAACCTTAACGAGGATGTTGGCTTCATAGATTCATTCCTGCCACTCTACAAACATGAAACGTACTCCCCCAAACCAAAAGACAGTGACAGAAAAGGAAAGGGAAGTGACAAAGATGACATAGAGGCTACCAAGTCCTCTGGGGCCAACAATAGCAATGGTGAGAACCTTTGCTCCAGTGATTCAAAGGCAATAACAGAGGTAACAACAGCTGAAGAAATGGCAAGAACAGGGATAAATATGGATGAAGAGAAGGCCCAGGGTGAACAGAGTGGTGGGGGTGGCGGCACGGAAAGTGAACCAAGTGATGACCAAGAAGGATTTGAACTCGTTGACAAAGAGGACCTTACTGAAGATGACGACGACGACGATGATGATGATGATGAAGATGAAGATGAGGCAGATGATGATGATGGTGATCGGGGGCAGAGCGAAACGAAGAAGGACAAGTAGATAAGAAATATAATTACAGTTATTTTAATGATAATGATAAACATTTGAAAGCTGGTGCTTCTGATTGTTTCGCTCCATGCACATTTCTTGATGATGACAATATACACTTAAAGATAAAAAATATTTAAACCAAAAGCAGAAAAAAAAATCTGGGAATGATGAATGATGGGAAGAAAAAAAAAACATTGTTAATGAGCGTAATTCTTCTGAAATTGAACAGGTGAAGGAGAGAAATAAATGCTTTTCAAAGAACAGTTTAAGAGGCATGCTCTTTTAAAGATGTATTTGATAAGAATAAAAATGAAGTAAGTCACATTTTAAACAAGATTTCACAAACTAAAATGTCAATTTTATTTTTATTTTAAGCAATTTTCCATATGAAATGGAAATGCCAAAAAATTGCCATAATCCATAACATTATTGGAAATTTAATAGGGGTATGAAAGCATAAAAATAATTCCTTTTCTAAAGCAAATAAAATCTTTAGAAAATACAAATTAGAAAATGTTTCTTACACCAACATTATTTTACTGAAATTGTATATCCAAACAAGTTTTAAATTCAACTAGCAAGGTTTGTCTATTTTTTATTCTAAATTGTTATTTTTTCTTTTTCTAGTACCAGGATTCATATTGGTGCAAAGTCATGTATACTGCTGTTACATGGAACTAGATAATACTAATTTGAATCCCACTTTTCAATAAACCAAATAATAATATTCCAGGATGTAGCCACCAAAACTTGCCTACCATACTGACCATACTCAGTTCTTGATGAGTGAGTGAGTGAGAGTCAGAAGTACTTGAAAAGCCAAAGCATGAACTTTGTATAGTTTAACAATGATTTTGATTCCAATATACATGTTCTAAAAAAAAATAAAACAGCCAGGCCTTATTTGTTGAATTTAACAAACTTGTTTTGGATATATATATATATATATGTGTGTGTGTATGTGTGTGAATAATATTTTAATAATTTTTAATATATAAGCTAATTGTTCAAAGAAATAGTGTTAAAATTTAATTATTCTATGGGAAGCACTACCAATTACACATAGGGCAGGTCAAATTGAAATGCCTGCTTTGTGTGTTTTGGGTAGCTCATAAGGTTTGGACTCTACCCACATTTTATGGTCTATTGAAAAAGCTGAATCAAACATTCTAGTGTGATCCACCATATCTGAAAATGGTAGTGTTTCCCATTGATTAATGAAAATGTTAACACCATTTCTTCAAACAATGATCCTTTTACATATTAAAAGTTCAGGCAACCTGCTCAAAAAAAAAAAAGTACTTGAGCTTCTCACCACGTTTCTGTTTAGGCCACAACACTGTCATGCACATCTTCAGTAGTGTAATTCAGAAGATTAAGTGACAACATTTTTCAATGATCAGGAATTAGGACAGATTCTACCTTTGGATGAGTGTTTATATGTGCAATATAAACCTGTAAAATGATATCTTCCAAAGTGCATATATAACACACGAGAGCCACTCAAGGTAGTTACTTTTATAATGGTAATGATGAAATGGTGGTAAGGTGTAAAGATTAAGAGGCTGGATAATGATTGACCCTAGACTTAGAGGTTATGATTGTCATCTTCATGGAAACATTCACACGGTAGTCTCTTCCACAAAGCATCATTTTTTAGAGTTTGGAGGAAAACTATCTGCTTGTAACTTTTGGAACACAGAGGAAATGAGTGTTTCGACTTTATAGATAGGATACACATGGCATATCCTAGCTATAAAGGTCTGAGCTGATGGCATGAAAGAATGGAATTTATCTGAACATTTGCCATGGAAATAACGATAGAATAGTGATGGGCTTGCAATGTTGAGTCTGTGGGGGAAGAAGCTGCAGATTGGAGAATAAGTCTTCCCCCACAGGACTGCATAAACAATTTTGAATTCTCTCAAGGCTAGAAAGTTAGCATTGAGAACCTCCAGCCCAGATATGGCAGAAATACATAATTTGGGGTTGAATCTGACTACTGTAAAGATAAAGCCTAGAGGGAGGAGTCCAGTATTTGCTCTCAGTTAAACAGAAACACACATTTGGTGTGTTGCATTTTTATTATTCAAATCAGTGTTCTTACAAAATTAATATTAACCAACCGATGAGAAAATTTTCAGGATAGATGTCTTGTAGCAAAAAGATGCTAGAGTTTTTTTTTTTTTTAATAAACAAAGTTTCTGTTGGTCACCAGTATGTAAAGGGAGAAGTTACAACTTGTTGCTGATGAGGATGAAGACCTTCAAAATTTTAGAGGAATTTTATGGATGTATTTTTATATTGAACCACAGCTCACAAAGACTAGAAAGACACATTAAAATTTAACTGTTTTCCTATTTCAATCTTCTGATGAATCTTAATTCTTCAGTTAATGATTGAATAAGCTCATGGCGAGTTCTATGACAAAATATCCATAGAAATTCCCCTATCACATTGTTAAATATTTTGACCGTAACAACTTATTGTAACAAAATATTGTAATAACAATTATAACTTTACATGCTGGTCATTATTTTAAGAAGTAAGGGGATACAAATGAAAAGATTGAATTTGAGAACTTTTTCCATTTTACTGAAACAGACATTAAGCACTTTTCTTTCATTTTCTAATTGAAACAAAGTAGCATCTGTAATATGTTATTTTTGTGTTTGAGGGACAAGCAGAATTATAATAAGGATGTGTACAGATATTTTTTTTTTTTTTTTTTAAAAGAAATGAGGAATGAACATATTTAGATACTTAGCTATAGTGTAATATCTACATGATTTGTTTGAAATTAACTGGTTGGTTTGCCTAGAGAAAGAAATCTCTCCTGACAGAGGCAAATCCCTATGTCACAACATTGCAGAGCAAAACAAAGGGTGAGCGTTTACATGTCGTCTTTATCTAGTTCTGAATAGAACGCCACTTAGCAAAGATCCTGATAAACAATGTGGGGTAATCGCCACAACCCGTTTTTTAATATGCCATGTGAATTTTAGCTATAACAACCTTATGAAGAAAATATTAACTTGTTGTTGGGGAGTGGGGTGTCAAGTTTTATTATGCAAAGTTAAATGTAAATATTTATAAATGAATCGGATCTATTAGATGTAGACCATGAAATCATTTGAATAACATATCCTCTATACATTAATAATCTTACACAAAATTTTGTCTGTTTCCCCTACAGTATCAGTAGAAGAAAAGTCATAAATTTACTATCAGTTTTTTTTTATACATATTACTAATATCTTGTGTTTACAGCATTAGCAGTAATATTTAATTTGCATAACACTTTTTAAAAGTATTTTAAATATTTCATCTGTGTTATTCTTATTCCATGCTTTAAAAATTGCCATTTAAAACAGTGTTTCTGTTAATTTTAGTTTAGTTTAGTTTGGTTCATTTTTCTTTTTAATTCATTGTGTTTGTTTTTGTGGTGTAATGGATATCTTGAAATGAGAAATTGGAGAGCTGAGTTTAAATTCCAGTCAGGTTCATTACATTCACTTATGTGCAAATCCCCTTGGGAAAGGTATGAATCTTCAAAAAGCTCTGGGTTGAATAGCAGGAGAGAGTGGGTCCTCTAGCCTTGGTTGGCAACCAGTCTACTGCAGAAAGAAATGGAAAACTACTGCAGGAAAATTTGCCTAGTCAGTCATGAATTGGAAGAGACATAACCATCCAAGCGTGTATCACATATAACAGACTGGCTTGGCAAAATTAAGCCATAAAAAAAAAAGTATTAGCCTATAAGAATAATTCTGTCCAGAGGAAGAAATTTGAGGAAACTTAGCATACTGGCAAAAAGAACTTTAGAAAATAGAGGTCTTGCTTGAATTTTATAGATGTAATTGATTGTTTGATTCATTTTTTTTTTACAGCTTCTGAAACTTTTGCAGGCTATTTAAAGCCAGAAAATATTTTTGGATTGTAAGAATTTTTTTTTTTTTTTTTTTAGATAATGGTTTAGTGATAGAAGTCTTATTAATTAACCCCTAGTTTGGAGAAGTGGTGGATTCATACCTTTCCCATGGTTATTTGTGCATAAGTGAATATTATGTAGCCAACAGGAATTTGAACTTGGCTTTCTAATTAACAATTCTGAGCTATTGTCCATTACACCACCCATGCATCCAATTTAGCCCATTTAGGTACTGACTAGATTCAGTGTTGCTTAATTTTAGTGATTGTACAGCCAACCAGTGTTTCAACATGATGTGGTCGTAAGCCTTTAAGACATAAAAGAGATTCAGAAACAGAAAAGTATGTTTTTAAATTTGACATGCTGACAGTTTTCCCTGTCAGCCTTTCTTTGTTTCTTCTCTTTCAATTTCAATTTTTTTTGTTTCCTAGATATCATCTTTGAATATTGAATCCCATTCTTATATGGACTCTTGACAATTTCAATATGTGAATTGATGGCTTACTTCTGTTTGTTCCTTCAATAATGATTAAGGCCAGCTTGAGACCCACCCAAAATTCCACATATAGGACTTGGAACATCACTCTTTGTAATTGCTGCAAGAATGTCAGCACGGTGTTCATTTGTCTGCCTTTCAAAGGTCCTCTAGACATGATTATGATCATCTGCTTGTGACTAATTTTGAAGATCCATGACCTTGTTATTCTCTTTCATACCTTTATAGATTACATTTGATCACAATACTCGTAAACCCATAAGAGTTGTAGGGGCAGTAACAGTGATGTTTCTTGGTCAAGATCACCTGATGGAGGCCAACCCTCTCCAGGTTGGGTTGAATTTAAAGTTTTCCTTCTCCTACACTAGGTGCCAACCAAGGCTATAGGACCCAATCTCTCCTGATAGATATTGATACCTGTGGTTGGGAGGAAAGTTGATGAATACATACCTTTCCCAAGGGTATTAGCTCATAAGTGAATGTAATGAACTAGACTGGAATTCGAACTTGGCTCTCTGATTCTTCAATTTGAACTGCTATCCATTACTCCACTGATGATCACCTACCACAATGCAAATAGAT